GGAGGGAAGGAGAAAGAGGCCTTACCAGCATCTGCTGGTTGGTCCACTAACAGGACAGTGGGTGATGCGATCTGTGTCGCTCAGAGGAATTACCAGGATATGCATATGTACTGGGCGGTTGGGGGCACGTGGGGAGTACTGCTTGGATTTTCTTTCTCAAGGAGGAGGCTTCACTTTTTAGGCAGAAGAGTAGGAAGGTCAGGGCTGAACTGTTGGTTGGCAGGGAATGGCACCTAGGTACTTCCCGGTTTGTTTGTCACACCCAATGTCAAGCTTTTGTTAAGATTAATAAGCTAACAATGCTTCAACCAGAGGGCTCTGAGAACAGACGACTAAACTGGACTGAAGCCTGTTGGGTATTTTTTTCTCCCCCATGGAGACATGGACTAGAATTTGATCTTTGAATATGAATGCTTATGGAATGACAGGCCGAGTGGAGGACTAATAGTAGTGGTGATGGTAAAGATGATGATATCGAGATATGCTTCAGGAGACAGGCCAGGCTCCCTGTACTGGAGGGCTGGTCATGTGGGCTGGGGAAGTTCTGTTCCCCATCCCAGGTTTGAATTTTCCTATTTTTAATGATATGATCTTCAAGTTTATTTCCAAATCATTAGATAGATGATAGATAGGTAGACTGACAAATATAGAAAGAATTATCTGATTTTTGGCCTTTGAGATAAGTACCTCCATTTTACATGTGGGAAAACAAAAGCCTGGAAAAGTCAAATAACATGCCCAGGGCTGCTCTCTCGGTCCTGCCCCGCAGGCTTTGTCTCACCTTCTCCTTGCTCTGCAGTTGGCCCAGGTTCCCTCCATTTCCTGTAGGACAAAAGCCCTTTCCTGAGCCCCACAGAGGTTGGGACCCACCATCCAGCTCCTGCTTCTCCTCTAGCCCTGCTCTCTGTAACCCCCAGCCCTGGTCTTGACCTGTTTGTAATCCCCAATCACTCGGATGCCACCAGACCCATTCTCTGCAGTGCCCACCTGAGCTGCCTTGCCCTCTGTGGGCCCTGCCTCGGCCCTGCAGCCTCCCACCTCCAGATCAAAGTGTGCCTCTTGCCCAGGCCCAGAAAACCAACACGTCATTACCTCCCCCAGCTCCCTCCTGCCCCCAAATGAGGTTTCTAAGGGTTTTATCTGCTGTTGTCAAGTTTATAGCCATAATTCGAAATGCTGTTAATATTACTGACAGCAGAGAGCTACAAATTACGAAGCTGTAAAGTTACTTTATGGGGATAACTGTCAGCTTTCACTAGCAGCACTGCCAGGCTCCATGGAAACCAAACTGATGATAAAGAGCTGATGTTGTTTCAGGATTATGGCTGTTAGCTGCCGGTCAGAGAGTTCCTGGTGGTTCCTCAGTAACTGCGGCCTGTTCATCTATATTCATGTTCACTTGCACACTGTGCACACAGGTACTTACGTTCCCATCCTCTTGTGCAAATGTGGGGTGAGCCCCCAAAGTGGAAGGACTTTGCCCAAGATCAGTTCTAACCAGCTGCAGGTCTGGGCCTGACTTTGACCCGCCCAGGCGACAATGACTGTCTGCCACATTGTAGGTGTTTAATAAATAATTGTTGAGGGGATGAATTCCTGGCACACATGGAGGCGTAGACAATAGAGAACAAAG